CCCAGCACTGAGCCCTGGGGAACACCACTTAGAACAGAACAGATCTGTATTTTTGTGCCTTTTTCATTAGTTTTTATATCTGTATGAGGTGGGTGTTTGGGTTCCTGATAAAGGCCTTTCTGGAGAAAAATGGGAGTCAAAACCTGACATCCAAAACATGCACCTTAAATTCATAAAAAGGGAGATGGTGGTCCGGATTTACGCATGGTGTGAGTGTAATAATTTCAGAAAAGCTGAATGGATTGATTGCCTGTGGTCCATACAAGCCTGTTGTATGGAGTGGAGGCTGACTTTTTAATGGGAGGGGAGTTTGTGGTAAGCCTTTTGGGTTCCCTTTGCATCACTGTGACCTGGCAGAGGATGTGCTTCAGTGTGATCATAAGCACATTCACTCGTTGACTCCACTGATGTGTGTGCGCATTTGGTTATATATTTACAATAAATTAGCCAGCAACCATTTAAAATAAAGACTAGGTAACATGCAAACCAGCGATAATTTGCCAGTGTTGTAGCAGCTGAAGAGAGTCTTTTAAAATAATTTCTTTTTATAAGGTGTGTTGTTCAGATTTAGTGCAGTTGCCAGCAGTAATTATTGATCCCTCTATTTTGTTGAGCTATATATAAAATCATGACCTCGGTTGTATTTGCATGATGAAGGACAGAAGGTGCTTAAGTGGCTTGTTCGTGTGAGCTGGTGTTGACATCATTTTAGGAGATACCCCCATAACTGGCAGGGGATGGTGGGGAAGTTGTTGGTGTAGCTGTAGCTAGCAGAGTGCCACACCAGGGCTAGCAAGTTCTCTCTGTCAGTGCATACCTTCTGGCACACCACTGTTGGTGCAACTCTGTGGCTTCAGATCTGGAGTAGCCTCTGGCAAGCTTGAACGCAGAACAGTCGCACAAGTTTTAAACTTGGGTGTTAGTTGTGGTTTGGGATCTGCCTTAAGGGAGTAGAAACTGTGGGGACTCCCAGTATTGTCACAAACAGCATGAAATTCGAAAAAAATTCTGACAATGTGCCTGTACTTATCAGGTCTTAGAATTGGGTTTAACAAGACTGAGAAAGGCATGTCTTGCTTAGAGCAACTGTAAATTAAGAGATTGTTGAAACGACAATTTAAAAGAATTTCTCAAATATTGCTGAGTCAGCACTGTAAGTATTGCAAAGCACTTCTTTAAAAAAACATGCCATTTTCTAAGAGCAGACTTAATACTTTTTCTATCCTCTGCTGAATAGAGATGCTTAAAAGAGCTGTTAGCAGTTTTTGCTGAAGAATGGGAGCTTGCAGCAGTTGGTCCAAATCTTCTGTTCTACAACTGCAGATATAAAGAATGTACCAGACTGGCTTAGAATTTGTGAATGAGAATGTGCAGTTGTCTAACTCTCAGTGCCATGTGTGGCTGATAAGTATTTGTTATCTGTAACAGTGGAAAGTGTTAGTTTCCTGATTGACTTTCAAAGAATATTAACAGTTTTTCCTCTTGATTTTAATAGCTGGAGTAATTGTATGGAGAGGAAAACTTTTCTTTTAGGTATTTTCTTTGATGTTAATCAAGCAAAATAATTTGTTTCATTGAACTTTTTTCTTAACTCAGGATTTGAAATTGAAGTGAAAAATGAATGACTGTGGTGTTGGTTTATTTACATTACTAATTTGTCTGTGAACTCAAAGCATGACCTTTGGCAGGTCTATGGTAAAACACAGTAATGGAGCCTGACAGGCTTAGGAATTTGTTTCTTCATGTGCAAAAGGAAGATTGCCAGATTTTTTCCTTCAGTATTGGCAGACATTAAGCTTTTGGTGTTGTGTTGGTGCTTGCAGAGCATTGCTAATTATGAAGAGTGGTGGAGAACCTTTGCTTAGTTCTGGCAAGCTATCCAACTTAAGTGTTAAATGATTCAAACAGTTGTGCAGAAGAAGGTGCTTTCCCAAAACCGTTACACATTTGCATTGTTCCTTGCAAAATTCAGCAGAAGGGAAGTGTTTCATGTTATGATGATTAATAGAAAGATCTGCCTATGAAGTAACATTGCTGTTGACATTATTTATTTTGAAGCCATCTCTTTAATAGGTAGGCTTTTTTCTACTTCCTTTCGTTCATATGTTGTGCCTACTAGTCCCAGGAAGTCACGAGCTGAAAATTTACTTTTATTAGAACAGCTGGATTTTTCTCTCCAAAGTTCATGATTTATTTTTCCTTTTAAAAAACCAGAACAAACCCGTTTTGTTCCCTGGTTTCTGTGAGACGGCGGTCTATAAACCACTTATGTGAAAATAGAAATATTTTGCTGATGGATTTGGTGAAACCTTCATGAAATTCCTGTGATGGTTCTTAATACACAATTTTGCATCAGAGATGATTTAGACTTCTTTTTTTGTGTGACAACAGGATTTTTTTCTTTGCACAGCAGAGCTGAATTCTCTCTGCTCACGTCAAATTTCTGTACCAGTATAATTGTTAACCTAAGAGAAGTATACCCACCTGTATGAGCATCATAGATACTTTTTTCTATTTATGTTTCTGTGCAAGAGAAAAGCATGTTTGTTTTTTTGGTTTTTTTCCTAATCTAAGTTCTCAGATGAGTGACAAATCATATAGTGTGTTGTGTATCAGATAATGGCAGGATTGGAAATTGGGGTTGAGAGATGTGGGCAATTATATGCAGACTTCCTTGAGGAAGAGAGAGGTTTGGAGCAATTTCAGTTAATATTTATTATCTCCTTAGTAAGTAAAATTGCTGTCTTTTTGTAGACAAAGCTGTGACAATTAACACAATTGCATTTTGTAGTTTAAATGCATTTATATGGAGAAAAGGGTTGTAACAGTAGAAATGGATGTGTGTTTCTTTAAAAAGATTATTGTTACTAGAAAAGAAGTACAAGAATTCTTATTTTGCATAGTAGATTTGATAGAATTCTACAAATGTTGTGGTGATGACGGATACTTTTATCACTATGTATTGTGCAAACTGTTTGAAGGGATTTTTGTTTAGGAGAATGAAGATCAGTGATCCTCCCATTTATTTAGTCTAGCTGGACAGTGGCAACTTACTTTGCAAACTAAAAATAGAATTGAATGTATCCTTTACATTTCAGTAAGTAAAGTATATCTATTTCTTTTTAAGCTTAGTCCATTTTATTGTCTCATACCATCAACTTTACAGACATAACTGTCTTTAAAAGCACATAGAATAACTGCCAAATCAACAATGTATAACTGTTTTTCAGGATGTAAAATGCACCTTTTCCCCCCTCCCCCCACCTGAATTTTCAGGAGTTTTGAAAAGGTGTGCATAGGGCCGTGTTCAGTCCTTTCTGTCAAAGTTACAGTTCAGTCTCTAACAATATCAGCAAGGACACTCGGCTTTTACCAAGGGTAGGCATTAGGAAAATGTGTAGTTTTTGTTAGAGAACATAACAATATTTTTTTCCTCTTTGCTTTCATCCCTATCCTATACAGCTGTATATCAAATAGCAAGTGTTTCCAACACAGTATGCTTCTGCACTTCTGTGTGTGTTTAAGTGTACCAGTCTGGACCATGTTTTCTTGTCTTGTTATTTCCACCTTTTTGATTTAGCACTGTTAGGAGCGGTGGTGTTCAGAAGGAAGAACTGAAGCAAAAGTGTTCATACAAATATATACTAAAATGAACATAATCTACAAATGCTATGATATTCTCGGATACTTATACCCTGAAATATTCTTGTAGCTGAGGTGGTAATCTTCTGTGTTTAGGTATTGTGTGACCATAGTATGTCTTACATGTTGATTGCTAGCATTATTATGGTTTTTTAATAGAAGTAACATATTTCTGTATATAACAAGGTCTTCATGGTCCTATCTTCGATATTTATCATGCATTCAAAGTGTGACTGGAGTTCGATGCATAAAGGTACCATTCAGGTATAAAATAAATTTTAAAAGTCAAATAACCTCCCTAAGTCGAAGCAGTTTGTTAATAAATTTGCAGGAATTAAGAGTGACAGTGCTGACAAACTTCTCCAAAAACAATTCCAGAACTTGTATTAAAGGGCTTTACAGATGCTAAGCATCCAGCCTGGAAATCAGATGTGCACTGTTCCTACTTCACAGACCCAAAACTGCTGTGGAGAGGTTGGTTTCGCTCCATGCCCTCAGGGCATCTGTGCCAGTTGGAAGCAGAGGAGGCTTGTCCTTGACAGTCAGTGAGAATAAGGGAGAAACAAAGTGTGCCTGTTGTTTTGCTGCTATGTTGGGTTTTACCTGCGGCTGGAAGAGTTGCACAAAGTGGAAGGTTTCTGTTGTGATGCTGCCAAATTGGATGGCTCACAGACTGTGTAGCGGTTGTCAAACCCCCATGGTGTTCCTGAGGTGACCCATAGTAGTGCAAACCCTTCTGCTTGTTCAGACTGTTACAAGTTGATATTAAAAAAGAAAATAATCAAAAAATATAATTACACACTCGTTACTTTTGCTTCTTATTCCTCCTTTTCTGTTTACTGTATTTCATTTATAGGTGTTGATTTTAAAATCAAAACAGTAGAGCTAAGAGGAAAGAAAATTAGATTACAAATCTGGTAAGTAAAACAAATGTGCAACCAGCAGTATGTTTTAATTTTTATGTTCTAGCATGAATTAATATGCTTGTCTAATACTATTAACTGTTATAAGCTGGTTTAGCTCTTACTCTGTTCCTCCGCTCCTCCGTTCCCACGAGATTTTAAGCAAAACCAAGTAGCTCATAGATTTTTGTGAGGGTAAAGGAGGAGAAGGAGAGATAAAGTTAGAAATAGGACATGAATGTAATTACTGTAACGTTAATGCATGACCAAGGTCTTAAGCCCCTTTTCCTATAATGATAATCACCTACACAAGAAATAGGAGTTCTACAAACAACAAAAGGTGATGGGGTTAAATAGACACTAGAGAAAGTACACTTTATTGTTGTCATTTTCTGGACTGTTTAAAACTGACTTTCATCGTAACAGTGATTATAAAGCAACTGTGAAGTATTTTTTGAACTGTTTTTCTAAAACTTAGTATAGGCAGTGCTGTTTGTTTGATGCTATGTTAAATAACTTAAAAGTGAGGGCATTCAAGACTTCAGTAAATTATATCCACTCTAAGCAGTGCTGAAAACTAAAACTATCCCATACAAATAAGACTCTTTACTGTAACTGGTACCAGTGTCCTACTACAGAAAGCTCAAAGTCTGAGATAAGCTTTTCTTTTGTGGAGTAGGTTACACTGTGTTTCTTGATAGTGATTCTTCATGTCAGTGATCAGTACAATTTTTGTTGTTTACAAATTATTGAGCTTAAGAGGTCCTTTGTTTTTCAGAGTCGTACAATACATAAACATTTTTATGAGAGAATAAGCCAGCTACATTCTATACATTAATCTTATATACTACTATGTAGAAGCTTAGCTTTGGTTTATTAACAGTGTGTGATGCATAACTGGCATTGTAGTTAAACCGTTAAAGCTGCTAACAATCCTTAGAGGGGGAAGAAAGCTCTAAATATACTTATTGCTACACTTTTGGGATATTCTGGTGGTTTCTCATTCTTAACTACATGGATGCAGTGAATTCAGATTACTAACTCCTCTTGACAGGTCACCATCACCTCTGTTTGTCACACCATGTGTCTGTCTTGCTTCCCTCTGAGTTAACTGCTGCTTCATCTTTGGTACCATCCGTCACCTAACACTTGAATGTTAGTGGCATGTCTTCATCCATCATCTGTCCCTGTCTGGAAACTTATGACTGCAAGGCTGGCAGTTGAGCCAGCAATTATTAGCCAGGGTCTGCTGGAGATGACAGAGGTAACAAAAATTTCTGATATGGAGATGCTACTGTGAGCCTGATATGAATTTTTGCTATGAAATGTGCTAAGCTTTTAAAAAAATTTCTTCATGTTGAATAAATACTTTATAGGAGAGATGTTCTGTCAGAAAAAAAAGATGTTTAAACCATTATTTTCCACATATTGAGAATATGCTTGTAGGATATAGGAATCTTTTAAACCTAAAAATTGAGAGATTGCTAAAAAGTGACCATGGCTCCTGTGTGAAGCCCTGCTAAAATGGTGGATAAAACACAATGTAAAGGGATAATAATTTTAAAATATAATAAAATCCACAAATACAGCATTCCACTCCTAAGTGTCACTCTCCAACAGTAGCTGTTAAAATGCTTTTCTTATACTTGACTCTTAAATTTTTTGGAAAAGCTATTAGATAACCACTCCTTTTGCTAATTTATCCTGAACTATATTGTGTATGTTGTTGGGCCTATTTATAAACTCTTTTTGTTATAGAATCACAGAATTATAGAATTGTTTAGGTTGGAAAAGACCCTTGAGATCATTGAGTCCAACCATAAACCTGAAACTGCCAAGTCCACCACTAAACCATGTCCCTAGGTGCCACATCTACTCGTCTTCTAAATACCTCCAAGGATGGTGACTCAACCACTTCCCTGGGCAGCCTGTTCCAATGCTTGACAACCCTTTTGGTGAAGAAGTTGTTCCTAATTGCAATCTAAACCTCCCCTGGTGCAACTTGAGGCTATTTCCTCTTGTCATATTGCTTATTACTTGGGAGAAGAGACCAACACCTTGCTACAACCTCCTTTCAGGTAGTTTTAGAGAGTGATAAGGTCTTCCCTCAGCCTCCTTTTCTCCAGGCTAAACAACCTCTGTTCCCTCAGCAGCTGCTTATTGTACCTTTAATTGCTATATTAAAATAGGAGAGCAGTTTACCAAGTCAAACACTTGAAAGCATAGAAATACAGCTGATCCTAAGTGCGGATCCTTTCATACCTACATGGAGACAGAATTAAGGTTTCCTCATACTTCCCGGTAGTCTTACGTACAATGAGTACAGTAACTTTACTACAAAAAACTGTTTTATTCAGTGAACAGATATTTTCTAAAGTTTATGCTTTTTTGTTTTCTTAAAATGATTTAGATTACATTTTAAAGCACCAAAGTTGTTTTTTTTTAATAATTTGCTGATTCTACTTCAAAAATCAAACAATAGCAGTTTAAAAAGAAAGTTTAACTTTGATGTTTTTATGGTCACTTGACCTGTCTCTCTACCGACCACTCTATCAGCAGAGCGTTCTCTATAGACCTCTGCCACTTGAATTTAGGGAAAAAACAGCAGTACTGTGTTGAATATATTGAGCAATAGGTGTGAAAGATGTCCTTTTGAAAGCGTCTTTCACACTTCTGGCTGTTTGTAGAGTAATGTACAAATTGGACTTGTCTCCCCTTTTGCAATGGGATACTGTGCACTGAGGATTGCAGAGATATCTGCTCTCCCCTTTATCTTACCTGTTCATACCCAGTCCCTGCTACTTCTTCCCCTGTTTCCCTGGCTTGCAGTCAGGAAACAATCTCCCACTCCTTAGATTATCAAGGGGTAGAGCAGCACTGAGGACACAGAGCAGTGTCCATCTTCTCTGTGCCACCTGGAACACCCGTTGTGCCCCTTGGGTTGGCAGATACAGCAAATTTCCTGTTGCCTTGCAGTTTTTGACTGAAACAAGCTCGTCCGTTCTGTGAGAAGTAATCATAGGGTCATAGAGTCATTTGGTTGGAAAAGACCTTTAAGATCATCGAGTCTAACCAAAATGTGTGCATGCTTCTGGCTTCCTCACTGAAAGGACCTGGGTCCTGGTAGCTGTGGTGCCCTGCCACTGTGCCCAGTTCCCTGCTGGCAAGGCAGATGGGCTCTCTGGTATCTCTACAGTTTTAATGCCCAAGAAAGCTGGTCACCTGGCAAGAAAACAGTCTGATTTGCTCTGAAGGTTGTTTAAATTGGTGCTTCCTCATAAAAAGTTCACATTCTGCCAGGTCAGCATTTTCTAGTGGACAGTTGTCTTGGGAAATCCCTGGGACAAGGAGTAGTTTGAGGAATAGATCACCAGTCCTGGAATGTAACAGAATGTAGTTCCTGCCTCTGAAACTAATTATTTCATATAATAAAAGATTTTAAATATATGTCAGTTTTCTGGGAGAAAAAGCTCATCTTGACAAGTAGAATTAACCTCTGAAATTACTTTAAAACATTTAAAGAATATTGCCTGTAGGTTCCATAAAAGCATAGAGCATGTGAAAGTGTTAAATTAGTGTTAAATTTTTATTTGTTTAAAAAATATTTTCCTTTCTATTGCCACTTCACCACCCATAAAAAGTTAATTTAACTTCAGACCCAAAGACAGTTTTGAGTCTGTGTTTGTTTCAACTGTTTTAGATAGACACAAAGAGCATTTATGTAAAACAAAAGTTATCCAAACCTATTTTAATTAAGATCAACTGTATTTGTATTGTATTTTATGCAGTCTGAAATAGTGAGAATATGACACGTCAGCACTTGACAATGGGCTTTGTGTGTTTTTTTTGTATTTGCTTCTGTTTGGTGTAACGTTTATATTTTTGGAGTGATGTCTAGTTTCTGTTTTGGAGGCAGAATAAGAGAGTCAAGCAGAGGGATTTTATTATTGCAAATTATAGATGGTCAAGGAGTCATAATGCTGTATGTTTCTGGTTACACTTTAGAAATACCAATGGTTTTCCATTAAAACAATTTCTTAGAAAAAAAAGCCATAAAAGAAAATTATTTTAGCATTAAAAAAGGAGTAATTGGTTGTATTTTTTACAGCGATACCAAATCATTGATCAAGTTGTAGTAATTTGTTATTTGGACTTCCGGAGTTAAATTGAACTGATACTCTATTGTGTCAGTTCTGACCAGGGCAAATGAAGAACTAGCAGCACTTAGTATCACTTACAAAATGCATGAAGTTCCATACTGTTAGGCCAGTTAAATAGTGCTTATCTCTTCTAGCTTTCCACCAGTGCCTCAGTAGCTGTCCTTAGTAAAATACTTCATCTACAGGGGTGTAATACAGATTTAATTACTTCAGCACTGCACATGGAAATAAGGCATTTTAAGTTGTATAAGCGTTTAATATTAACTCTGTATTAGAGGTTGTAATTTTTTCCTCAATAACAGAAGAATTTACTGCACATTTTCATGAAAAATAAGATAGGCTCTGGTAGAAGATGAGATTTTCCATATGAAAGATCAACTTGATGCTCTTCTTAAACTGCAGCTTATTTAGATAGCTTAGGGTTGTATTCTGAACTTATTGCAGAAATAGTTTTCCAAATTTCACTTTGCTGTTTGAAGGCTAGTACAATGTCAATGTGTAATGTTAGAGACTGCAAATTCAGCTTATTTTCTTCCAGTTTTCAAAGGAAACAAGGATTAGAATATTATGCTTACAATCAGAAACCTGTAGACTGGTTTCATTTAAACTTGCTGTAGCAGTAGGGGCATTTGTTGTGCAAACTGTGGGAAAGTCAATGACTTAAAGCAAGGCAATGAAAGTCAGCCATAATCCACTATGACTGGCAGGTGACAGTTAGTGGCCATCTGGCCATTTAACGTGTGTATTGGGCAGCCAGGCTGGCCATGGCTGTTTTAAACTGGCCACAGCATATAGTGTGTCTCAGTTAGCCAGCAAGCCAGGCTAAAGGTTGTGTGATATTTGTGTGAACAACCTACGCAAAGAGGAGTGCAGGACTTGAGGGTACAGCAAAGAGCAGCAGCCTGAGAATATGATAAACATTGAGGGGTTTGTGGGATGAGGAGAGGCTGATGGTACCAGGTAGACTTGGAGATGCAGCGCTCAGCAGCAGGCTAGAGGAGATGTGGAGTTGGGGACAGCTGGAGTGGCAAAGTATAATGTTGAAAGATTGGCTCCATTGCCTACCCCATGGCTTATCCAGTGTGTTGATGACTGTCTTCAGAGAGGGTGGGTGAACGTTACTGTGTTTATTTCCCCTCTCTTTTTCTAATATGTGAACTGGGTGATCTGGTACCCTGGTAGCCCCTCTGTGACAGAGTTGCTAGAGGTCCTCAGCATTAACCTGAAGGCACAGCCAGGTGGCTCTGAAATAGCCCCTTTACTTCTGTGTTCCAGTAGGGGCACAGAGAAGAGGGGAAAGACCGGGCAGCAAAAAAGGCAACTTTTTCCATTATTCTGGCCAAAGCTAGAACTGATGCATTCTTCCTCATCAGATACGCCCTTCCACCTGCCATCTAGTTATGTCTGCTCTGAATTGTGGAAATAAAGGGATCCCATCCTTGATAATCTTGTTCAGTAGGTTGGATTAGCAACAGATGGCAGGGGCTGCTCTACAAGGTCATGATTCTGAGAAGTCTGTTCATAACCACTATAGCAATGTTATCCATATGTGGAAAATCAACGGTTCATATGAGAATTTTTTAATTTTTCATGGACTGAATGTCCAAAGGATCTTTCAAAAAATAAAACTGGTTATAGCAAAGAAGCCATGGAAGAAAAAGAGTTACTTCTCTGAGTAATATTTATATATGTCATTTCAGCTGCCAGAACTTGTATCGCTTTAATAAAAATGCCTCATTAGTGATAAGAAAGCAACCAATTAACCATCTAAAACCGGTCTGAAATACTACTAGAGCTTGACCTTATTGAAACAAGCTACCTGTTTTCACCTTCGGTAGGGTCCCAAAGGTTTGTATGGATGTAATTCTGAAGTTCTGAGTGGAGAATGGGATTTGAATAATTATTTTTTTAAAGGATGCATTAGGAATTTGTTTTCTTCTGCCCCATATTGCAATGCCATTGGCTTGCAGTGAATTAGTAGTCAGTATTTTTCTACAGGCTATGGATCAGAAGTTTCAAATATTTTTATAGTGGACATTACTTTGTGAAATCACTAGCAAAGATCTGTTGCTATCAAGTACGCTTGGGGCAATGTCAGGAGGAAGTACTTCACTTTTAATCCTGCTTAGTTAAAATTCTTAAAGAATTTGTGAAGAGCAAGATAGGTTTGGGGTACTTTATTCTACTGCTTGTTGTGCGTAGACTTTAAAAGAATTAATTCTTCAGGACAAATGATGTGGCATTTTGTGAATGTGACTTTTTTTGGTAACAAGTGTTTCAGGTCTCCATTGTTAATCTCATTCCCAAACTCATCGTCCTCCTCCTTTTGTCTAAAATGTGACTGTTGAAGAGAGTT